CTAAGAACTAGAGGCTAGTCCTCCTATATAATAAGGACGAATTGCTTGAGAAAGGGAAGAAAAGAATGAGATGAGAACTCGAGCTTAAGCAAGCTCGTGTAGCATGATCACATGCGCACGTGCAAATGATGGCTAGGCTGAGTCAGCCAGCCAGAGCAAATCTAGGGGTTCAACCCCTTATAAGTTGTCTCAGAGCCTACAAGTCACTTTCTATTCACTATATCAACTATCAGAGGTTAGAAATTGAAGTTGATTAACTATGTATTAGCATTTTTGAATGATGTACTGCCACAAGATGAAATAGTCTATATGCAGTTACCTATATGCATTAAGCATGAAAGGAGGGAACTGGTGAGCCTTATTAGACAGAGTTTGTATGGCATGAAGCAAGCTGCAAGGACCTGGTATTTTGTGATTACAGAGCACCTCACATCACTGAGGTTCAGAATTTCAAAATATAATGAAGGATTTCTATTTTATTCTATCTGCAAGATCTATCTAATATTGCATGTTAATTATTACACGGTAACAAACCCTAAAGAAGTAGAATTAGATTGAGTGTTGAGTGAAATATAGAAGAAATTTGATATAAAAGATATTGAAGAAGATAACTTTTATCTTGAGATGAAGATCAAATGCAGGTCAAATGATGACTTAGTGATCTCACAAATCTACTATAATGAAGAGATCTTTGAAGATTTTAAAATGAATAAGGTTAACTCTGCTGATACATTTATGATGACAGATATACAACTTGAATTCATCTTAAAAAAGGATAATGAATTGGAAGATGAGTTTATAGCTATGAGATATTGTCAGAGACTTGAATCACTCTAATATCTTATATCAAGCACAAGGTCAGATTTGGCATTTACTGTGAATTTCTATTAAGGTTCAACTCACACCTGAATAAGAACCGCTGAGTGGCTCTGAAGCATGTCCTTCACTATATAAAGAAGACTAAAGCCCTGGGGATAATTTACAAAAATAAGGGATATGATAGAAACCTACAGCTAGTTGCTTATTGTAATTTAGATTGAGCAGATGTAGACCCTCAATATAAATTAACATCTGACTATATCATCATAATTAATAAATTTTCAATATTATAGTGCTCATAATATCAAATATCAACTGCAAAATCAACAATAGAAGCAGAATATATTACTGCTAATGAGACTGTGTATGAGTTTACTTGATTGAATGATATACTGCAAGATGCAGATCTAATGAAAGAGAAGTCAAAGATCTATACAATATTGCAGATGAATAATAAAGATGCTATTGATTTGACAAAGAGAAAGTTCTTGACAAAGAGATTCTATTATATAAAAATTCATTACTATATACTTCATGACCTAGTTGAGAAGAGAGAGGTAAAGCTCTTACATATAAATTCTATAATAAATAAAGTAGATAGATTTACAAAGTCTCTGCTAAAGCCAGCTTACAATGAACTTATAGAGAAAATAGAATTGATAGAGGTTTAATCTCATTGATGAGAATGATTAATTTTACATAGTTTTACAGCCTTTAAGAAGGTATAATAAAAATATAGATTAGAAGAATAATTGTATACTTTCTTTACAAAGTTACAGTATAGAGACATAATAGAGCTTTTTCTAATAGGGAAACTAGCATCTGATTCCTGTATTTAATTTTTATTGTGGAGTTAAGGGCATTCAGTAGGAAACAGAGTAGAGCTCAGGCTCACTATAGCATGAGAAGGTGTTGAAGAATTTCCCAGCTACTTGAGATCATATGCACTTATATATTTATTAGTTATAGCTAGCTCGCTTAGAGTCTCACAATAAAATAAGGTTGATGATAGTCCTCTAAGACTTATATTCATACTGCTTATTAAAGTATTTTAAAATCAGTATCATTTTAAAATTCAGTATTTAGAATCAGCACAGATCAGCACTTTTTAAAAATCAGTTCTTTAGCACCAACATTTCCTAGAAGATAGAATCAGCACTTCATGAAGATTTAGATCATTGTATTGCTAATTCCTCATTTCATAAAAGATTATAGATAAAATCTATTACTACTTATTCATATATATAAATATTTTGAATTCTCAAAGTTCCTTCAAGAGATTCAGTAATTAGCTATTATTCAATCCTACATATACATTTTATCTGTTGTTGTTCTTTTCCCTCTATAGCGCTCGCAGCGCCTATATATCTACCTTATTATGATCTTAGTTATAGAGCTTCTCATGCTTCTTTTTGATATTTAGTTTATCTACTTTAGTGTCCTCATATAGAGATGATTGAAAATCAGATAAGATTAATATGAGCAATTAAATATGATTAAAGTCAAAATGTATCAACCTTTAAAGTATAGCAGAGCGGATCAATTTTAATCCATATATAAGTAGTTGCGCCGTAACAGTCTATTTTTAGATATTTATAATAATGTGACTAATGTTAATTTATGATTATTTTTTCTTACAGAAGTACTTTTATAATTACTTTTTCTATAAAATTATTTTTTTAATTACTCTATTATTGATAACAATTATTTATTAATCATTATTTGTTTTAATTGAGCATACTTTTGAGATAGTAAGTAGTTCAAATATAAATTTATTGAATCTTATAAAAGATGATATAATTAATATAGATTTCTGCAATTATATATTAAAGATTAAAGAAAAGCTTATAAAAAAAATCAGTTTTATAATCTTGTAATTTTAAGCTTTTTCAGTTAAATAAAAGAACTTAATTATAAATATATAATAATTATTTTTATTTCTTATTATCAGCTGTTAATATTTCATCTTTGTATTTTCAAACTTATTAATATTCTCATATATTTTTTGCAAATACTCAAATATCTTCTTTACTGTTTTAAACTTCTCAGGGTGATCATTTCTCATTTTGAGATTAGATATTTTGTAGATTTATCTGTGATGTTAAGACTCTCTACACTAGCTTCTTGTCCTCACACTGCTTATTATACTACTTATCAAAGCATTTTAGAATTAGATTCTCTAGATTCTCACACTTACTTACTAAAGTACTTATTTTTATACTGCTTATCAAAGCACTTTAGAATCAGCATCTTCTAAAGAATCAGTATTATCTCAAATTTCAGCATTCAAAATCAGCACAGATCATCACTTCTCAAAAATCAGTTCTTTAGCATCAGCACTTTCTGAAGAATAGAATCAGTACTTCAAGAAGATTCAGATCACTGCATTGCTAATTTTTTATTTCATGAAAGATTATAGATAAAATCTATTGCTACTCATTCATATATATAAATATTTTAAATCTTTAAAGTTTCTTCAAAAGATTCAATAATTAGCTACTATTCAATTCTACATATACATTTTATCTATTGCTATTCTCTTCTTTTTATAGTACTTGCAGTATCTATATATCTACTCTTTTATAATTTTAGTTATAGAGCTTCTCATACTTTCTTTTGACACTTAGTTCATTCATCTTAGTATCCTTATATTATTTTTCATTTAATTTTTAATATAGATAGTATAGTTTTCTTTGATTAAAAAATGATCAATATTGATATTAGTTTATATTTTACTTATAAAAGTTAATTTTTAAATATCAATTCTTTATTATTAATAAGATACTTAAAGTTATTAATATTTATAAATTATTATACTCTCTGTATTTTTGTTGATTTAAGTTATAAAATTAAGAAATTTACAGTCTGCTGTAGTATATTTTATATTTTTATCAGATTATTTATCTACTGATCAAACTTATTTACTCATCTTTACTTCTTATTTCTTTTATTTTTAACTCTGCTTAGAGTTTGGTATATTTTATTTATAAGACTGATAATTTTTCAATATATTTACTTTAAATTCTTTTTAAATATATTAAAAAATATTTTTTTTAAATATAAATTCTCTTAATTTTATATTTCTTTTAATCAGAGTTATTATATCTCAGTTTGATTTTTATAAACTATCAGAATTTTTAACTATTTTTAATATTTTAGCAGTTTTTTAAAAGATTTAAAATAAAAGTAATAAAGATTTAAGAGATTTTTTATTTAAAAATCTTTTTTAAAAAAAGTAAAAAAAAGCAATTGATAATCTCAATATTATATTATAATTTCAATTTAAATACAGATAAAATAGATATTTAAATATTAATTAAATAAGCTATTTTGATAAAATATTAAGATAATTTTTAAAAAATTAAATTTAAAAAAAACTCTATTTATATATCTGTTTTTTTTATATAATTGTTTTTTTTAGTATAATTGCTGGACAGTTACTGTATTTACAGAGTATTTATTTATAAGATAACTGTAAAGTTGATTATTATATCATTATTAAACAATTGTAATTGATTTTTTTAACTCAGTGATTTTACACTATTAAGAAGTATAAATAAAGTTTATTTTATACTATTATATTCAACATAGTCATAATCACTAAGAAGCTTATTCAGATATGAGTTATAGATATAAATATAAATATAGATATATATCTAGAATATGAATATGAATATAGATATAAATATAAATATAAAATTTATTTATTTAATTTTTATTAATTTTTTTTAAAAAAAATTTAATATTATATTATGATTCTATTTAGATTTAAAATAATAATAATATAAAAGTTTTAATTTATTTATTTAACTAAATAATTATAATAAGAATATTAAATTAATAATTATAATATAAAATAAAATAAATGATTAAATATAAAGAAATAATTAAAAATTAAATTAAAGTAAATTAATTTTAATTTATATTATAAATAGCTATGTTGTAATAAATATTATAAAAAAAAATAATAATAAATGAAAATATATATATATATAATCACTGAATAAATCTTTTCAAGAATTTCAAAAAATTTAAAAAATTTATATATATAAATAAATATTAATAAATTTTACTTTTAATCTTTCATAAAATAGAAAAATAATAATAAAATAATTTAATTCTTTAAAAAGTGCTGATTTTGAAATGTTAATTTTAATTTTTCAGAAAGTATTAAATCTAAATTACTTATTCTGAATCTTCAGAAGCTGCTGATTTCTAAGACAATACTAATTCTATAAAAAATGTTGATTTTTAATGAAGTTTTTTAATAAATAATATGATGACAAGAAGTTAATATAAGATGTTTTGACATCATATTTTCAGAGTAATTGTGAGATGATTGCTATACTGTTGTTAGACAATTGCAATTATTTTTTCAGCTCAGTAATCTTATATTGTTAAGTAATTTAATCAAAGTTTGTTCTACATTGTCATAGTAACTTACTACTGATGAACTACAATATAAATATTTTAATAAAATATTGATAAATAATATTATACTTTAAAAAAATCTAATTTCTGAAAAAATTTTAAAATAAATTAAAAATTTAATTTTTTAAAAATTTTAAGCTATATATATATAATAATATCAATTGTTGAACTTATAAATCTCTGATATAAAGAAGTAATCAAATCAGGTAATATTTATGAATTGATTTTACAAATAATATCTGTTCTTTAAAAGGGAGGAAGGGAGAATGGATAATCAACATTTTTTGTTCTGAATACACTTAATAGAAAACTGTATATCACAAACATAACCACTTCCCAGATAACCACGTTGATCTGCTGTGATTTAGGATTTGAAATACGAGGTATTTTTATTGCAAGAGCTATCGTAGCAAATGAAAGGCTAGCATCTGCGTAGTAGAGAAAGGTTAGAATATCCAAATATGAATAGGTTTTCTGGACGCCTATTGTGAGGGAAAACCTACAAATTGCAGCAACTATTTGTGTTTCAACGCCTAGTTGAGATAAAAAGCCAGGGGCAAAATAGATGATACCACCTTTTCCATCCCCAGTTACGTATGGTACTTTTCTTATGTGGTTGAACATATGTCCACTGGTGAAAAGGAGAATTGCAATCAGACTTAGTGCAGCCCACAGGTTTCGACTTTGAATGACAGGCAAAATATATTTTGACAACACTGTGAAGAGGGTTACGACACCCAGCAGTAATGTCGTCATTGTTGCGATTCGGCCATAGTTTATCGGGCGAACGATTGAGGGTTTATGCCCATCTGGTAGGTAGCGGTTCATCCAATTATTAATCTGGTCTGCGGAAAGTGGCCTTATTATCGTAGAGTTAGAAAATGGATGGAAATTAGAGTGGAAATGTAATTTCTTACCCGTTGAAATTATATTGGATGGGAGATGCATCAGCTTTTGCTGCGGGGCCAGCAGAGGGTGGAAAGAATAACAGAACGGGTGCAGTTTTAAGCATGAGCTGCCAAATGCAATTGTCAATTATCGGAAATAGGTAGATGGTATGGCATAACATTTACATACCTTCTGGAAGGTATCCCTCCCCTTTGAGAAATCGAGAGTGCCAAATAGTAATTTGGGAGTATCCTGCCGGGCTCCCTTAATCCAGCTCCGAGCAAGAAGCTCCCACTCCGGCTGAATTTCATGGCAAAGCTGACACCCATACCTCATGTCTCCAGCAGTTAGAAGTACAGCGACATGGTAATCGCGTGGGTCCGAGATCAAATCATTGTAAGTCGAATCATTAAGCACAATTGGTTTGACCGATTTTGCTAGAGTTTGGTAGGTTTTGTATCGGTCGGTAGTAGATATGGCAACAGATAAAGATATTATCAAGCAAAAAAAGGTCGTAAATATTGGCAATCCCCTCATGTTGACTCCTTTCTTCTTCACCCTCTTCGATGTTTAGAGAGAAACTCGCAAAGTTGGTCGCAAAGTTTGGTTAGAAACTGCTCAACGGAGGTTGTAGTTATAACCAAGTGTCTCTTTATCGCTGTTCGGGTAAAAAACTGTCACGGATCTCGGATCACGGTAAAACTAATGTCCGGGCATTGTTTACTCTCCCTGCTCAGCGTTCTTAAAAGGATACTAAATACTAACCCAAACATCGCGGTCATAACCACCTATACGCAACTGAAGGAAAAAGATTCAACGCTGATGTCATTGTCAAAGCAAAATAATTTATCAGCTCGACATGAGGTGGGCCAGTTCCGCGGCATCTTCTATCGTCTTCTCTTGCTTACAAAAGACCTTTATTAGTCGCTCTCAACTCGCACTGCGCAGCTTGAGACAGAATATGAAAAAGCTCTTTGCCAGACCGAATTAATAGTTGGGAGTGAGCAAAACCGGATCCTACACGTTCATTTCTTGCTCGCGGATCATGATAGAGATTCCCTTTATTCTGAACTGGAGGAAACGAAAGGCCATCTGGAGAGAGCAGAGAAAATAGGCTGCGAAGCGCAGGAGCAGTTGAGTCAAGTTCAGAATGATGTTGACTACCTTCGAAATTCGCTCCAGGTCCGGTTACGAGAAATCGATGATTTAAAGGTAAGTATTCAGAACATCTACTTTGATATTAAAGCTAATACCCAGTAGTCGAACATACGAGAACTCCAAGCCACGTCGGCCGACTCAGCCAAACTACTAGCAGAAAAGCGTTCTATGTTGCGAGAATTATCGAATTTAAATCACGAAATCGAGCGCCTAAAATCCCAAAACTTGTCTCATCAAAGTTTGGTTTCGGAGAAATTGTTGCTTCAACGACAGCTGAGCTCGCTAGAAGTTGAGCTTCAAAGTGAAAAACGTGCTTTGGAAAAGGTACGACTAAAAGGGTTGAAACAGAGCGAAGAGGACAACAAGAAAAGTATCCGGCTGGAGGAGTTAACTAAGGAGATCGCTAGAGAGCGGCGGGAGCGGGAAAAAATTGAAAAAGACATGAAAGCTGAAGCTGTTGAGTGGACTCGCCAACGAGCGGTGTTCGAAAACAAGTTAACTACACTCCGAAATAGGTTACGTGGATCAGAGGATGAACTAAGGCAATTTAAAGACAAGAGCAACTTAGATGGCCCTCCGCTACTGGAAGATGCTGGAACATCTCATAGAGAAAATAACCAGAGACGTAAGCGGAGCGCTTCTAAGTATGAGCCAGACATAACAATCGACACACCCAGAGCAGCTGCGCATCCTCAGAAAAATACCAGACTTCCGACGATACCTGGCGAAAAATCAACGTTCTCCACAACACCATTTTTGAACAGAACTAGCACAACAGCAGAATCTTCGGACACGTCCAAGAGCGATGCTGATGAGAAGCCCGCCCGTAGGCTGCCCAAACGGATCGAAAACGATATCGATATGCATGACCCTCCAAAGCATCGCAAATCTTACAATCAGAAGGCCGCGAAGACAACGAACTGGAGACGTCCAACAAAGCCACAAGAAGAATGCGCTAAGGTAGTTTCAGATGATGACGGTGCAGTTGATCAACCGGGACAATCACAGGCCGACTCTTCAATCTTGACGACGCATAGAGTGGCTGGAAGGAAACGGATATTACTTCCAAAGAAACCTGAAAGAACATTGTTTGACGATGACGACGGTTTTGAAGATTCCAACAAGGAGAGACGGCGTGTTCCAGGAGGGTTCCGAGCTCTCGGGGGAGGTCAGTTTGGGTTAGGTGCGTCAGGTCGACGGCTTGGGAGTATAAGAGGATTGGGCGCTTATACAGGGATCTCTCCTTTGCGACAGAATATTCGCACTGCAAAAGATTAAAAATACGTTGCGTATATGTGCTGTTTACTTTCTAATGTCCTTGACACATACCCTTAGCCACGTTTGCTTGAACTATACCAACCTGAAGTAGCTTGTTAGCATCACTTTTATCCAACTAGAATGATCGTTTCGCGATTTCCTAGAGAACAAATACAATCTTTCTCTTTAATAGCCAAAGAGCGGGCTTGATTTTCAAGGTCCCACACATACTAAATTATTGGTGTAGCCGATATATTAGACTGATTCTATCAGATTTCAAATGTCTGCAGGCTCAACAGTCCTCTTTCTGGATGCTTTCGCCTCACGTGATATCATGACTGCGACCTTCGAAAGGGAGGTAGGTCATTCGGTTTTACATTTTTCATTTTTAATTTTAACGAACGCGGGTACTGCAAACATTGAAACAAGAGCAATTCAACCAATACTAGGTAACCTGTATCTGATATAACCTCAAGTACCTATGAAACTGTGCGGCGTCCGCACACTCTACCGTGCATGGTTGCCAACTGGCGAAAATTGGCGGGTGCAACCTAACCAAATATTTGAGTTATCTATACGGCATTCCTCTTCCAAGAGATGGCAGGCCCGGCAGGCAAAGGATAGATATTCGAGAGAAGCAATAGTAAAGGGATTGAAAAGCCGTGCTGCTTTTAAGCTCCTCCAGGTTTCTAACCCCTCCAATGTTATCGGTCTTGGAAGTCGGACTGACAGAGAATCTTATAGATCAATGACAAACATAAAATATTCAAAGTGGGGCAGAGTGTCGTGGATTTGGTATGAATCAAAGTACCCCCTTTTACAACACGCTTGCATATTAACAGTGATGCAAGGGTTATGCCCCTGGGTCTTGGTCACAGGTCCGTTATCCCCGCCCCTTCTCTCTTTCAAGCTTGAAATACTAATTATCTTCTTCTAGGTCGCTGTCGAGCTCACACAACCCAACGGACGTGTGGTCGGGGTTGATATTATTCCTGCTCAGCCCCCGAAAGGTGTCTCGACGATCCAAGGAAATTTCCTTTCACCGCAGGTGCAAGCTTACGTGCAAGAATTCCTTCGGAATCCTAATCGGGGAAGAGTGCAACGTCTCAATCACTTCGAAAACACCGATCCTGATTCCCAATCAATAACCGGTTACCAGATCGAGGAAAGCGAGGGGTATATTGATCGAGAACGGAGTGCAAGCTCGCACATAACCCAGGTTGGCGGGGACGCGGAAGATGTCTCCGATACTGCTATGGGAGATAAGACGGTTGATGTGGTTCTAAGCGACATGTCTGCCCCCTGGGATCAAACAACTGGTTTCTGGAAGAAAAGCCTTAGTGACCCATATCATAGGATGATGAACACGAGCGGAATGAGTTTTCGAGATCACGCCGGGAGCATGGTATGATTTAGACACCCTACCGCTGAAATTCGTTTCCCCTTTCGTTGTGTTTAATTAATAATTTAGAAACAGGATCTCTGTAGGGCGGCACTGGAATTCAGTTTCAACGTCCTAAAAACAGGAGGCCATTTCGTTTGCAAGTTTTATCAAGGCGCAGAAGATAAAGCACTCGAAAGGCAGTTGAAAGAACTTTTTCAGACTGTCCATCGAGAAAAGCCCGAATCTTCTCGCAGCGTATGTTTTCAGAATACTTTATAATCTTTGGTTGCTCTCTGACAAAATTTCTATCAGGAATCAAAGGAAGCATATTTTATTGGTCTAAGGCGGAAACATAACGCTGTCAGAGACGCCGTTCTCCCCCCATAACTAGGATCTCCCTTCAATTGTACCCGAGTTTACTTTTAATATCTGGCCACTTATCGTAGATGATCATGAACAGAATTTGCATGGTCGTTTCATTTCTAATATCCTATATTATCTCCCCATCACCTTCTTCAAAATCGCTCTCGTCGAAGTCGATTGAAGCCGAGGCTTCTTCTGCTGCGCGTTGGACCTACGGAATTTAGTTGCGATTCTGATGTGATTCCCGAACTGAAAACTCACCTCCTTAAGCCCGCTTAGCTCTTCAACATAGCCACTTTCATTCACAGCATTTTTGACGAATTCCCACTCATGTTGCCTGTATGCGTTAATTATATTACCTGAACAAGCACTGCAGCAATTATAGCTCCTCCCTGATACGACCACGTTAGAAAAATTAGACAGGAATCCCCTAATTTGGTGAGGTATGATCCCAAGAGGATGATAAGAGCGGTTCTCGTCAGAGCAAGAGGATGCAGGAGCAGCTGGTCCGTCTGGATGCTGCAATACGGAGACAAATAATTCAACCAACAAGGCTGATGCGATCGCAGCGATACCAGGGCGTGTCACTGTACACTGTTGGTCCAACGTCTGATCCTTGATAGACTTATAGATGAATTAGCACACACACTACCTCCACGAGGCTAAGGTTGACGACCTACATCAGCGGGAGCCACAACGTCATTGCAAAAGTAGCATCCCAGTTCAGTTTCCGGTGCCTCACTATTTTCGACGCCGTGACGCATTACAACGTATGTGTCAAAACCTAGCGCTGCATTCATCACTATTTTCCCCGTCGCTTTTCCCATAACCGTCGGTAACCAACGAGATTCTCGAGTATCCAATAGCACGAATATCGCGTCGTGCTCGTGAATGAGTCTCCGAAGTTCCTCGAATTCACGTTCTGCTTTCGAGGCGTCTGTTATCGGATGGCCTGGCATCGGCACTGACAGCACATGACCGGAAGCATCAACACCTGGATAAATTTCCGCAAGCGCGGCGGCAGCACGATGCGCTTTCTTGGCGCCTCCTTCCAGGCAATCCTTAAATTCGAAAAGAGGTTGTCTCACTGGGTTGGAGAAAGACACGGTTCCGTTGTCTACAAATGTGATCTTTCGAACACCCCATCCCTATGGCTTTTGGATTAATCTTTGATAGAGACCCAATAAATTTAGTCATACTCACAAGCAAATTCCGCGCAACGTAGCTTCCAAGAGTTCCTGCACCTAGCAAAAGGCACTTTGTATTCTTTATCTTCTTGAGGTTGAGGTTGGGGCTGATCCTCCACTTCATAAGTTTCAAATTTAGATCGACGGATTGATCAGCCAATCTATTATATGTATTAGCAGCGGTGTATTTGAGTGCTCCAATAACAATATAAAAACTTCGGACCAACCTTTTCGGGTCCATGTATTCTGTGAGATCAATGATTCGTCCAATAAGTTTACCCGCGGCGTTTCGCTCCCACCCGGTGACTTTAGGCATAGTGCTCTCAGATCCAAGCTGGGTTTCCTCATGTTCAGTTTGGGCAGCATCTGATCTCAATTTTATGACGATACTTCGACCTTGATCCCTTTTTGATTGAACATCACGATATCTGAGAATTTGGACTTGACCAAGCTTCCAGCGCTGGCGTACCAGAACCAACAAATTCCTTAACATCCAACCTGGTGCGTCCGGGTAGTTCGAGGGATCAGCGAAACATACGAAGCAATCCTCAGCCAAAGCATTGCGGAAAAAGCCCGTTTCGAAACCTGAAAGGGATGAAATTTCCCATGAAAACCCAACTTCTTTAGCAATTGGAGAAAGTGGCTTTTGATTTGTTCCAAGTTCTCTGCTAGAACGAGTGTCGCTTGGGAGATCGTTGACATGATGTCTATACTTCCGAGCAAGAAAGAAGCCGTGTTGACGGGCATCCACCCCGTATCGCCATGTTTGAACAGCGTCAACTAGGGTGGAACTTTCGTTGCCCGCCAGATGTTTAGGTTCTGTAACAGGGTTCCACGCTGAATGGATTGCTGGGAAAGCAAACCAATACAGAAATTTGTATTTCTTTAAATCTGCGAAGGAAAGCACAACAAATGAGACTAGCAAAGATGGGCAAGAATAAATTGTTCCATCATTAATAGCGTCCCATATCTACCCCAGATATAGACAGTCAGCAACAAAGGAGGATACTTTAGATGCTGTGAGTCCGGGAGGGTTGCGTACCGTCTTCCCCGTTTGAAGTAAAAGAGCATTCTTGTCTGTATTGCGGTATTCTTCAATGGTGTTAACATTTTTTATCATCCCTTCTCCTCTATAGAGCCCTGCGGGCACCCTGCAAAATCATGAGTTTACATACTCCGTAGTTAATAAATGTTAGCCAGAAATGCTCCAACTTACTCATCTCGGGTCAATGCGGTCCCATGGATTTGCATGCGACAAGAAGACTCCGGAGGATCGGTAGATTTGATCTCGTAAAGACCAAGAAGCTTACGAGCGGAGTCATTAAGTTTGTCATGGTTTATTTTCAATGAGGCCAGGGATGTGTAGAAGGGAAGCTCTATATTAGAGATGAATGGTGAATACTGCATGTTGGCGATAGATGTAGTTAAAAGTTGATGGAATGGAGATTTCGCTTATGATAAATAAGCAGCCAAAGATTGTTCGATTCCCAATCTCAGTTCTCGGCAGGTGATCGATCGTGGCCTCGTGGGAATATCAGCTGTTGGATGATTGAGAAACAGAGCAGTGATTCCATAACAGAATTACTTTCCATACGTATACGTACTGTGCATAGATCTCCATAAGGATTGTCAAACGTTTCAAACTGAATTATGAAACTCCGCAAAAGAGAATCATATTAGAGCCTATAAATCTGGCTGGTAAGGCTCTCGTCAGAAGGTTGTGGCTGTTTAACCCCAGAAACTGCAAATACCCCCCACCCCGGAACGCAGCCTCCCTGACAAGTACTTTAACTAACTATTACTGCAGTTTGCGGAGTAACTAAGTTACGTCACGCCCGGAATCCCAACCAACACCGCTAGCTAGCTCCGTGGGGTTAGTCAGTTCGCATGGTTGGATTACAGCTGTCGGTACTGCAATGTATACAGTACAAGTACCGTACGTACTTTCTATAGTTACAGACGTTTGGCTCGCGAGTTTCTCCCGCAGTCACCTGACCTGTTTACATTTCAAGCAACTGTTGGCAGGAGGACAGCTGTTGAAGTTTTTCATCAGTCTACATCAATGATATAAAGTATTGTTTCCTAGCTAAAGCTGGGGAACCCTTGTGCATCTAAGTGTCTCCTTGATAATCACTATTTTGAGAACTATTTCTCCCTCACGTTAGATTCCATGACAATCTTGGAAGAGTAGTTTCTTAAGCATAGGTATATATTCACCCAATTTTCTACTCAGGGATTATTCTGTTGGTCTGTGACAATGTTGCTTGGTCTATGCGGAGGTCTGTTGCCAGAATCCTATTATTTATACATCTTGTTCTCACGAAGAGCAAAGGAAGACTGATGTAGCAGTTAGGAATATGTTCCGGAAAACACTCTGTTTCTGAATACTTGATCCAGAAACATGGATTCCGGCAACTGCAGCTCGCCCGTAAACCTGATCTTCTGGATGAAAAGGAACTTGCCCTATCCTTCGGAAATCATTCGGTTAAAAGCGGGTCTCAGATATTTCAGACTGTCGACGAGCTTCTCAGTTTCGTGACTAAAAATTGGCGGGAACGATGGGTTACTACCGATATCTGGGATGAGACAACTTTGGAGAGGCTCCTGATGAGACCATATTTTCTTCTGGTCAGCGTCGATGCCCCGGTTAGCCTCCGTTGGAGCCGCTTCACTGAACGGTACACCAGATCCACCATTCCTTGCATAATACACCCGTCAATGCTAACAATATCAGGTCTTGGCGTCGACAATTGGATCCCCCTGATCTTGAAAAGTTCGTCCTCTGGAACGACAAGCATCTGTACGACAGGGATATTGGCATAGTTTACATGACACACCGTGCCCAAGTTCGATTGTTTAACTCGTCCTCTTCATTGCATGAATTGCATGCAGCCCTGGATGAACTAGATTTAGTTAGTGAACATCGCCTGCGCCCTGGCTGGGATCAATATTTCATGCAGCTTGCTTCTCTAGCAGCTCAAAGGAGTAACTGCATGAAGCGACGAGTAGGGTGCGTTATCGTCCGAGAAAAACGAGTCATCAGTACGGGATACAATGGCACTCCTCGAAATACAAAAAACTGTAACGAAGGCGGATGTAAGATTTGCTCTAATGTAGAAGCCATATTGAGCCTCTACTAATCACTAACAGGTCCTCGTTGCAACTGCGGCGAAGGTGGTGGTGCTGCGCTGTCTACCTGTCTTTGCATCCACGCAGAAGAAAATGCCCTACTGGAAGCAGGGCGTGAGAGAATAGGCGAAGCGGCAATTCTATATTGCAATACGTTAGTTCCCGCAAGTTTCATCTCTACATACACGAGAAGAGGACTCTGACTATCTTTCCTACAGTTGTCCTTGCCTGACGTGTAGCGTGAAAATTGCGCAGCTCGGTATCTCTGAAGTGGTCTACTCTCAAAGCTATAACATGGATAAAGAAGTTTGTATCCATTCCGTTTATCATACCTGTGCAATGAGTGACTAACGCGTCTCAGACCGCATCAATTTTGGAGGAAGCTGGAGTGAAACTTCGACAATTTTCTCCTGTGCGTCATGTCTCCCCTGAAGTCAAATTTTCTATATCTTCTAACAAAATCCCTAGCCACGAAATGGGTTAATTTACCTTCAAAGGTCAGATATCACTTCTTCTGATCATGAGGTGTTGAATTCGGAGCCTATTATATGATAGTGGCGAACTTGTTGGTTTGATTTGTTCCTTTCAGCTCAATTTCAGGAGTTTTTCTGACAATCATTCCGTGCCTTGAATATATCAAACTTAGATCGCAGAATATGCTATTATACCTTTCTCCATTCGACAAACGATACAGTGGGGAGTAGCTCCCTAGTATACTGTACGTTCCTACCTCAAGTACGGTAGGAGATACTAATGAAAAGCTTTGAGTAGAATAAATTACAGGTCGTAACCTTAATACGCACAATTATTGGTTGGTCATGTGTTTAACTGACTAGCTGATCGTTTTAAAGTTTCTCCAACGTCTGACTCATTCATGACCTTCAGGGTAGATTTCAAGGATGTTTACGCTGATTATACGCTTTGGAATCTCTTGACAAACACCACCAAGCCAACTCACTAGTAGTGCAGTGGTTTTTTTCTTTTTTTAATTTATTCTAATTTTTTTTTATATTTATTTATTTTCTCATACACAATGCCTGTTGTTCATCTGCTGGATTATGTAGCGGGAAATATTCGATCCCTCGTTAACGCCATTGAGAAGGTTGGTTATCAAGTTGAATGGGTGAAGTCTCCAGATGACGTGCAGAATGCGGAGGTCAGTAAAGTAATCCTTAGGCTGAGGAGGTCTCTCTAACATGGGCTCTTTTTCAGAAACTTATTTTGCCTGGTGTTGGCCATTTTGGGTACTGTTTAAGCCAACTCTCAAAGGGGGGATTTCTTGGGCCAATAAGAAACCATATAGCTTCTGGCAAGCCATTTATGGGCATCTGCGTTGGCTTGCAGGTTCTCTGCGAAGGCTCTGCAGAGGATCCAACAGTATCGGGTTTGGGGTTAATACCTGTCCGTCTAGCGAGGTTTGACTCTTCCTGTAAGAGTGTCCCGCACATCGGATGGAACTCGGCCAAATGTCCCAGCAAAAGTCCAGAGAAATATACCAGTTTCTATGGGCTTCATCCACAAAACAAATACTACTATGTTCATTCATATGCGGCTCCCTACAATGAAAAGGTGCTTGCGGACCAAGGATGGGCAGTTGCAACCGCAACGTATGGGGATGAAACATTTATTGGTGCCATCGGCCGTGATAACATTTTTGCAACACAATTTCATCCTGAGAAAAGCGGCAAAGCCGGCCTCCGCACACTTGAGGCTTTCCTGAATGGGCAAAGTATTCAAAATTTGGACGCCCCTTCAAATTCTACATTTGTTAGTGGTCTGACAAGGCGAGTCATTACATGTTTGGATGTCCGCGCCAATGACAATGGGGACCTAGTAGTAACAAAGGGCGATCAATATGACGTCCGGGAGAAGAGCGGGTATGAAAGTGGAGGCCAAGTCAGAAATTTAGGGAAACCTGTTGAGATGGCGAAACGTTATTATGAACAAGGCGCGGATGAGATTACTTTCTTGAATATTACTTCTTTCCGAAATTGCCCTGTGGCAGATGTTCCAATGCTGGAAATTCTTCGGCGAACGTCAGAAACCGTTTTCGTACCCCTGACAATCGGAGGCGGCATTAGGGATACTGTGGACACCGATGGCACTAAAATTTCAGCGTTGGAAATTGCGACGATGTACTTCAAGTCTGGGGCTGATAAGGTTAGCATTGGATCAGATGCAGTTAGCGCTGCTGAGCTCTACTATGAAAACAACTGCAAACTCAGCGGTGGCACCGCAATCGAGACCATCTCGAAGGCCTACGGCAATCAAGCGGTCGTTGTCAGTGTCGATCCTAAAAGAATTTATGTTAGTAAGGTGGAAGATACAACCCATCGGACAATTCGAACCCAATATCCGAATGAGGCCGGCCAAGAATATTGCTGGTATCAATGTACCATTAAAGGAGGCAGGGAAGGCCGGGATATGGATGTTTACCAGCTTATTAAAGCAGTAGAGGCCATGGGGGCAGGAGAAATCCTTCTTAACTGCATTGATAAGGATGGGAGCAATAGCGGGTTTGATATCGAGCTCATCAATGATGTGAAATCTTTTACAACCATTCCGGTTATTGCATCGAGCGGTGCGGGTAACCCCAGTCACTTCGAGGAAGTTTTTAGGAAAACTACTACCGACGCAGCTTTGGGAGCTGGCATGGTAAGTATATCATTCTGAAATTGCACTCTAAATTATATATACTAACGTGTTCTACCAGTTCCACCGAAATGAGTACACAGTGAAGGACGTTAAGGAATACTTGACATCCAAAGGGCTTCTCGTCCGTGAGAATGAATAATAAACTCAGGTGAGATGGACCACGAAAATAATGTTCACTGTAACTGCAGCTTGGCAGATCTAGGAAATCTTCAAATCTTATACTACCTTCTGCGTATCTACGCATGAAGTTGTTCAAGATTTGATTCAGTTTGTTCAATAGATCCAATAGACACTCTTGCTGCAATCCAAAACTGCAGGAAAATTCAAATGGGATTGAAATAGTTATAACGAGCAGTTAATTAGCATGCCATACACGGGCTCGCGGAAACAGAACCCAGGTACACCCATAGCCCAACAAGATACAGAGCAGAGTGTCAAATAGCGATCTGAAGGGAATCAACCTTATATAACCTAGGTCCTTGGGTAGAACTACCTGGGTAAATCATGGATATTCTCCCGTCCAATAAGATTTATCGCGTGGAACCAAGTTTATGTCTGTGCTTTCTGAACTTTCTGTACTGTATGTACTGTACAATACGTACATACATACATACTCTAAAAGGAAAGGTTCCGATTCAAAAGCCTGCTGCTGACTCACCGATGCGGCTGAGCCCTTGGTTCCCTGGAGTTGACCTCGCTAAAAGGTGTAGCGGCGCCCGCCTGGGTGGCGTTGCCCTAGCGACCGCCCCGCCCACACGTGATCGCTTGTATGTAATATAGCAATAACCTAGCTAGCTCCTCCGAATAGAAGGTTCAACCATCCCACAGGTTATAGCCTGGATAGCTGGTTTTTAATAAAAATCGCGTTAAGAACTGCTGTGTACATGTCTGGATGAGTTCACCCTCTGATCTAATGACTGGACTTTCTACCTCTTTAACAGAGAGAAAGTGATCTTTATGATTGCATTCTAGAGCTGTTGGAGTGTTCCCATCACTAGATGAGGATGAAGAATTAGAAGGCCCAGAGCAGGAACCAAGTTCAAACCACACCATGGATTCATCAAGCTGCGAGCCTGGTGAAACGCCTGCTCCCAAGTCTATATGTGAATCCATGGCAGCTAGTGAAGGAACCTCAAGCCCCCAGCCTCAAATGCCTACTTCTAACATGAGTGGTATGATTACAATGAGTGTAGCAGATTTGTTGGCCTTTTGCCAACAAATGACATGCCAGAATGCTTCAAATATCAACAATGATACCTCTGTGAATGATTTCAAATCTCAGATCCATGAATATCAAAAGAATTATAAGGGGTTGAACCTCTAGATTTGCTCTGGCTGGCTGACTCAGCTTAGCCATCATTTGCATGTGCGCACATGATCATGCTACGCGAGCTTGCTTAAGCCTGAGTTCTCATCTCATTCTTTTCTTCCCTTTCTCAAGCAATTCATCCTTGTTATATAGGAGGACTAGCCTCTAGTTCTTAGAGCTTAACTTTTTACATTACAAATTGCTTCACTTCTTTCATTGATAGACTACTGAGAGCCTTAATTCTGTATCATGAAGCTTAGCAAATGTGCTGACATATGATAGACTATTGAGAGTCTTAAATTCTGCATCATGAAGTTCAGTGATAGCACTGATATATAAATAGACTGAGTTAGCAATCATGCTAACAAATGAACAAGCAACATTGAAAATATCTAGCTGAATGAGATAAAGTGACAGAGTTGTACAATAAATATACAAATGAATCAACATGAAGCAATGAGCAGGGACATTCTCAGCAGCTTTGAACAACAATGAATGATCTTTCTTCAACAGCAGAAACAGGTTCAGTGTGAGAACAGAGATTTAATAGCAGCTCAGCAAGCTGAAATAGTTAATCTATGACAAGCTTTGAACATCTCAACATCAATTCTCTCTCAATTGAATCTGTAATCACTCATTGCAGTCAGAAGATCAAAGACCAAGCTACTGAACTGCAAGAAGTATGATGATTTTAATCTGAAGCACTACTCTTAGTGAGAGCTAAAGCTTCAATCAAAACTTAAGATTGATAAGAAAGCTTTAGGTAATAATGAGGAATGTACTTGATATGTGTACTTGAGACTGAAAGAAATGACAGCAGATCAAGTTTACTTCTGAGTTGAAAATAATAAGAACAAGATCAACTTCATGATAGAAAGCTTACTGAAGCAGACACACATGCTTTTTAGTGATTCTGCACAATAGAAAAAGACTATGCAAAAGCTCAACAATATACAACAGAGTAGAAGAACTCTTTTTAACTTTCTGCTCAAATTTAATCAGCTACTGCTGGAAGCTGATGATCATGAATGAGATAATCACATTAAAAAGAGGTATTTGAAATCCACTCTAAGCATGGAGCTGAGGGAAGGCATGATGGATGTAAGAGAATCATCTCTCTACAAGAATTACTGCAAGAAGTTTAGATTAGTTGATCATCAACTCTCTGAGCTTAAGACTTTAAGGCAGTGATCTAAATGTCACAAGAACAGATCTTCTTCAGATTATATGACATCTAATTCACACTCTCTACTTCATCATGCTGTTCTTGACTGATGAAATCAGTCTCAAGCTTCTGCTGATAATCTAATGAATCTCTCTCCTGGTGTTGTGATCTCAAGCACCTGCCACATCAAATTAATAAATCAGACAGAGGTTAATTGATGAAGAGAGCAAGGCCTGTATCTGAGATGCAGAGTCAGAGATCATATGATTAAGAGCTGCTCATTCAAACCTCTTAGATGCCCTGCCACTCTCATGATAGCTAAGGTGATTCCCAAGCCAGTAGTAGACAATGATGATGTGGATATGAGCAAGGATTCAGGAAAAGAGTAGCTCCAATCAAAAGACACTGAAAGGAGTGAAATAAGAAGCTTATGAGAAAGCAATGAAGAAGATTTAAATCTAAGATAGTATTCAAACCTTTCACTGTTGATGCTCTAGTAGATAATGTCTTTTCAACTAGAGCAATGATAGACAGTGAATGTAATATCTATGATCTTATTTCTCAATTCTACATTAACAAGCATAAGCTCCTGTGCATTGAAATTCCTCTTGTTAAAATGACTGGCTTTGAAGACTTCATGGGACTCTCTACAAGCATAGTGACTAATATTCAAATTGATATAGATGGTCACATAACTGAATGAGCTTTTTTCTACATAGTGAATGAGTTACATGATCATGATATGTATCTAGATGACCCCTGGCTGGCCCAGCAAAAGGTGACCGTGATCCCTCATTGAAGAATTGTGAGATTTGAAGAGAGTGACATAGAGATAGAGCCTAGTTCAAATGCAAAAGCTGATGTGATTCTCATCTCTGCCATAAGCTTCTCTAGGCTTGTGAGCACTTGAGAGAAGTGAAACATCAAGATCTTCACTGTCAGTTTGACCAACATTCAAAAAACTCTAAAAGTAAAATCAAAGATTGACTCTAGAGAAAAGCTGCCTGAACATTATCATGAGTTTTTGAACATATTTGATAAGGAAGCTGCTGACACTCTACCCTCACTTTGTGACCCAGGTAGAGATCATGGGATTGAACTGATTAAAAAGACTGATGATAGCATAGAACAATCCCCTTGAGGCTCATTATATAATATGTCTTGAGAGGAACTACTGGCTTTGTGAAAGACTCTTACAGATTATCTGAATAAGAGTTTTATTAGAGTGAGCAACTCCCCTGCAGCTGCTCTCATACTATTTGTGAAGAAGTCTGAAAGTGGGCTAAGATTCTGTATGGACTATTGAGCTCTTAACAAAATCATCTGAAAGAATTGATATTCTTTATCATTAATCAGTGAGACTCTACAGTGAATTAAACAGGCTAAATGATTCACTAAGCTGGACATTATTGCAGCTTTTCACAAGATTTGAATCACAGAAGGTGATGAGTGAATGATAGTCTTTAGAACCAGATACAGGCTATTTGAATGGCTGGTTACATCTTTTGATTTGGTCAATGCTCTAAGCACATTTCAAAAATATATCAACTGAGCATTATGTGGATATTTGAATGACTTCTGCTCAGTCTATTTAGATGACATCTTGATATTTTTCTCAAGAAGCTTACAGGAGCATCATGAGCATGTACAAAAGATACTTATATGTCTACAGAAAGCAGGCCTGCAGGCAGACATCAGAAAGAGTGAGTTCAAGGTGAACAGCACAAAATATCTTGAATTCATCATTGAAGTGAGCAAGAATATATGAATAGATTCAGAGAAGGTTAAAGCTGTTTTGGAATGAGCAATACCTACTACTCTTAAAGGTGTATAAGGATTTTTAAGCTTTGCCAATTTCTATAGACAATTTATCAGAGATTTCTCAAAGATCATGATCTCACTGATGATTCTTACATGCAAGAATGTTCCTTTTTTGTGGATGAGCAAGGCTGAGAAAACTTTTAAGTGTCTAAAATCAATGTTTATCTCTGCTCCAATCCTGCTTCAATTTGACCCTGATCATGAGACTATATTGAAAATGAACTCCTCAGATTACATCTCAGGAGGAGTGCTGCTACAATATGATAAGTAGAGCATTCTACACTCATGTGTCTTCTTCTCTCACAAGCATTCACCTGCAGAATGCAACTATGAGATTCATGATAAGAAGTTATTAGTGATAATTGAGTGTTTAAAGAAATGAGACACTGAGCTATGAAGCATAAAGAAATTCAAAATTCTCACAGATCATAAGAATCTAGAATACTTCATGACTACACACAGACTAAATGAAAGACAGCTATGTTGAATGAATATTCTCTATTGATTCAACTTCAGAATTGATTACCAGCCAGAGAAGTTGAATGCTGAACCAGACACTCTATCATGAAGAGAGCAGAACATGTCACAGGGTGGTAATGATGAGAGAATCAAGCAGAGACAAGCTCAACTACTTAAGTTTAATGTACTGGCACCTGGAATGAAACCAATAGTAGTCACTGCTAGTGTGGAACCTGAGATGTCTCTTCAAGCTCAGTGAAATAAGGCTCACAAAAATGACAAAATTCTGCAGTGTCTGGAGCAAACTCTTCATGAGAGAAGATTCAGATTTCCTTCTGAACTCAGCATTAAGGCCTATGTCTCTGAGTGCTATTTAAATGAGAATGAGAAGCTTCTCTTTCAAGATTGTAAGTGAGTGCCAGACTTCAAACCTCTTCAAACCAGGTTAGTGCATGAGACTCATGACTCACCTCTTATCAGTCATCCCAGGTGAGAGCAAACAGCAGAAGTTCTAAGACATGAGTTCTACTGGTCAGGCTATGCCACTGATATGAGAAGAATGACCAGGAACTGCCATCTTTGCAGATCAAACACCACATGAAGAGATCAACATCAGGGACTGCTTAAGCCTCTGTAAAGGGTTAAGCTCTAAGAACTAGAGGCTAGTCCTCCTATATAACAAGGACGAATTGCTTGAGAAAGGAAAGAAAAGAATGAGATGAGAACTCAAGCTTAAGCAAGCTCACATAGCATGATCACGTGCGCACATGCAAATGATGGCTAGGCTGAGTCAGCCAGCCAGAGCAAATGATGGCTAGGCTGAGTCAGCCAGTCAGAGCAAATCTAGAGGTTCAACCTCTTATAATATCCCCCTTCTCCCTCTTTGTTGTGAGTCTTTATGACTATTTAAAGCCCTCTTTACATCTAATTTTGCCTGCTGAGAGGCCTCTCAAGTGTTCAAGGCCTTCACTTCTTGTAGAAGACTCATGTCATTCCATGTAGGCTTAGCTCAATCTACCCATTTAATGAGGTATTGCTTTTTCCTCTGGTAAGTTTGTTCACTCTGAATTTCCTCAATCTCAAACTCAGGTCCTTCTGAAGTCTCTATAGTGGATGGCTGCCAGTCAGTTTGCCTCTGACTAGACAGGGAATTCATCACTGCAGCATGTAGAAGCTTTATATTAAAGATATTGTGAATGTCAGGTGAGACATTCAGTCAGTAAGCATGAAATTATATCTTTTCTAGCATAGTATATTGATTGTATTTTGCATTCAGCTTCTTGCACAGGTGATTAGTTCTCATGTTCTCTAAGCTCAACCAGACTTTATCTTCAGGTTGAAAGCTTGAAGCTGGGTCTCTTCATCTATTTATGTATTTCTATTGAGATTGCTGAGCATCTGTCATTTTTACTTGAGCTCACTTCAACACTTCACAGGCTTTTCTCATATAATCATCTGCAAACTCAATGAGATTATGTGATGTTTCAATGAGAGATGCATCAGCTATATCAATGAAGGAGACATAGAAAAGATGTATTAAAAAGAATGAGCTCATGCCCATTGAGGCAGT